CTGCTTTTAGACCATAGGCTGTGAGAAGTACATCTGTGGCCTCCTCTTGTTGTTCTTCCTTCAGCATGTCAAGCAAAAATTGATCCAATTCTAAATTCTGTCGTTTTAATGCAAACATTGCATTGTTTATTAGTTGGTTTGCATTAATAATCTCTTCCACAAAGCCAGTTACTTTCAAAGCTTTCTTCTTTTGGTCATATGACAGTTTGAGTTCTGGGTACATTTTCAGGAGTTTATCCTGAATACCATCTTGAGAAATGAGGAGAAAGATTGATGGGGGCAAATTTATTTCTTGAGTCTTGCTTAATTTCTCCCGTCTAACCTTTTCTCCAATCCTGCTAAGAACTTCTGAAACAGGTTTCTCAAGTGTGTTAACTTCATTTACAAGACCGACCATGTAAAGATTACCACTGGTTTTGTCAGGAACTACAACCACGTCTTCTTTCTGGAGTTTCTCTTTAATCTTCTGCACAGACTCTTCCCATACCTCAGATTCTAGGGGAAACTTGATGGATTTGAATTTAGATACGGACTGGGTGAAGGCTGATCTCACAGAATTTGCCCACTCTTTGATGATGGCTTTGGCTTCTTTTTGCTTAAGTAATAAATGCAGGGCACTGAGGCGGACAGCAGACTTCTCCAGGGTAATGATGCAGAAGTGTTTTTCCAAGTCACGACGAACGGTCTCCAGAGCAGTTTTGTTTTCAGCAAGGTATCCCAGGATAGCAGTGTCAGTGGGTTGAGATATGGAAGCAGGGAGTTTTGGTGATGGCTTATCTTTCCCATACAGTGCAACGCCCAAAGATTTGTAATATGGATAGACTTTGACTTCCTGCTTTTTTATGGTGTGCTTCACATTCATGACTTTCTTTGCAGCTGTGGGGAAAATAATTAAACTTAAAATTCACAGTTTAACATGAGAATTAACCAAAATAATTAGTATGTACAACAATTGAACTACCTTGATTTTCCTTGAATGTGATAACAGCAGACTGTTCAGCTTCGTTCAGTTTGACATCTTCGACATCTCCACCTTTACTCTCAAAGTAGAGGTGCAGCATGTCTTCACTGCAGTCTGAAAACCCTTCAACAACAACCCTCTTTGTGGTCTCAAGGGGTCGAATTGAAAAGCCCTTCTTTGTGAACATCCGATTTTGCGGACATATTTCTATAAACTCCCTGTTATCTGAGAATAAAGAATAGATTAATTAATAAAAATTTTATTTCAAGCTGTTATAAATAGCACTCATTAACTAAGTAGTTACCTTTCCCACTCTGGAATGTCACAACAGCAGATGAGATGTCAGGAATGAGTTCCAAAATGTAGTTCTGGGAGGCAGTTGGAGAGTTTAGATCTCTCAAAATGTTCTCCACTAGCATTTCCAAGAATTCTTGTGTTACAGACTCTGGAACGTTCTCTAAGACAGCTGAGGTAGAACACGGCTCTTCGTCGTCTGAATCTTCATCTTTGCCTTTTGCCTCGATTTGATCTTCATCCATAGTTTTTTCTTTTCCAGGTGACTGTTTATTGGTCTCTGCCTTGTCCGCTGTTTATTGGATATAAAAGTTAAATGAGTACCCTATTGTGCACTGACAAATAATACAAGTACTTTAGCAGCAAAGTAGATTATTAACCCTATTAAAGTGAGCTTAGGGCAAAATATCTATTAGCTGTCCTAAGAAATTATGTCCTAAAACCCATTTAAAATTTAAAATAGTTTCTACTATAGATGTTTTTCATAATGTGATTATTAAAAGATTGATATTCATTATAATAAATAAAACAAGAGTAAAAGGGGTCGCAGAATGCAAAACTGAGTTTACATTGTCATAGATGAATAACGATAGTTCAGTGGGTGAAATGGACGTACAGAGAAGTTCAAACCCCATCAACACCTCCTTTCCCTGCAAATCTCACAATTCTAAACTTCCACCATAAAACGGGCGAATCCAAACGAAGCCCCGAATTGACGTAAACTCAGAGATGTTGCCTTATTTGGTTCTGGCCTTTAACTTTGTCATGCCCCAAAATTGACATACAAACCAGCCCACTGGTTCACTGGCCCAAGAAGATGAATAGAGGTAGATGTAAGACACGAGTCTAGCTGTTTAGCCTACAGTTGGGTTTACTTCAGCAAGAATTACAAAGCAGGCAGTCTCTCTATTAAAAAATGAGCCAGAACCACGGGCATAAATGCAGTGTTCCAGGCTGCATGGAGAAAGGGGAAATTTTTTCCAGTCTTCCCAAGGATCCAAAGACTCGACAGGCATTGATTATTTTTGTTTATCAGAAGATCCCTGCAAAGTCTGATGCTCAGCTGTTCATGTGCTGAAAGCATTTTACCGAAGAAAGCTTTCAAAATCTTGTAAAGTTCAAAGCAGGATTTGCTAAACTTGTTTTACTGAAACGAGGGGCTGTTCCGACTGTAAGGCTGTTACAACCGCATACTGTAAGTATTATTCTGTCGCTAAGCTGTTGATAACAATGCTAGGACTGGGCATCCGGGCACTCGAACTGAGCTGTCCACTCCGGAGCTGGTGTGGGAAGTGACGGTATGCTTCCCCCCACTCGCCTTACCAGGTAGGTGAGAGAAAGCACGGGGCCACTGGTGTCCAGGCTACCATCACAGGGTCAGGTGCAGTTGCTCCGTCCCCCGCTTGCTCCCTTCCCCCGTCCGCTGGGGTTCTCGGACCAGCCCCGAAGCTCACGGCTCATTTCGGTGCCCAGTGTGTTTCGACTAAGTGCTGCACTGTAGTCAACTTAAGTCCCGAACGATTTTGAAATTCCCCCTAGACATTTTTTTAGGTATGAAAAGTAGGACCTCTCTGGGAATAAGAGGGTGTCTGGTCACCCTACCATAACAACAATTAGATGTTTCAGTGAGTGAGTGCTTGTTGCTATGATGCATCTTTGCTCAGCAACTTCAACTAACTTAAACTAACCAATCAGCGCACAGCTCATCTAAATATTCATGAGCATACAATTAAAGCAAGAAAACCTGTGGTTTCATTCTAGGGCTTTTAACCAGGCTTGCATTAGGACTTATAGAACAGCAAATATGCCATTTTCAGCCCAACCAATGTTACACACCCTATTCAGAGACCTTAAGGACCAGCACCAGATACCTTATATGATCTATGACCCCTTCAAAAAAATTTCAAACTAAAATAAAAATTTTTTTTAGCCATTTAAAACATTTTCTTTTTTATATATATATATATATATACTCTAATAATCCCAGAGGGAAATTACTTCTCTGCATTTAACCCATCCCCTTTGGGAGCAGTGGGCTGCCATTGTGAGGCGCCCGGGGAGCAGTGTGAGGTTAAGGGTCTTGCTCAGGGACCCAGAGTGGCAGTCTGTGGGATCTCAGGATTCAAAGCCCTATGCCCTAACCACTAGGCCGCCACTACCCCACGTAAAAAGTGCATTCTACCAAATATTATAGAGAGAAATTCATGCACCTATAACATTAAAGTGTATGTTTATGCTTGACTAGTTGGTATCAAACTTCATAAAAATTTGCCTGTTACGCAAACTAGTATTTAAAGGTCAAAACATTAAAAATCTTAAGTCAAAACTGTCTATTTCCAGCAATTAAAGTGAAAATAAGTGAAATAAGTATGAACAACAGCAATACCTAAGAGCATCACTGAACAGTACACTTTATCTTAATAACTAAAATCACAAACTTTATTCTATTACATAAAGGTTTATTCTTTTTATTGGTTACTGAGATTATGTTGCATATTTTTATGTACATAAATACATTTTAAACTTGAGAAAAATGTTTGCAATGTTGTAAAATATACCTAATGAAAAAAGAATACAGCATATTTTGGTAATTTATTTGGGAACCTATAGTTAGTTATGAAGAATTTTAGACAACAGAAACTATAAAATGTGAAAACTAAAGAGGAAACTGGATAATTTATAATACATACATTTCATATCAATTAGTACATTTTTCATGGGTACTTACACTTTTTGCTGCCTTTATCAGTGTCATCTCCCTGATAAAAAAAATAAAATAAAAAATTAAAATTTTGATAACACTGATAGTTTTTTTTGCTTTTTATTCAGCTACAAAACATTTCCACTGGTTAGGAATAGACTTTAGTCAAGGTAATATTTTATGAGGTAATAAACAAAGTACTTTAATCTGTTGTGCATCCTCATAGACACAAAATGAAAGGACAAAAGCAGGAATACAAGCAGGCAGAACCATCTTGTATTTCTGATCAGTCATATGATTTCCAGTAAGCAATAAAACCCCCCACAGGATCAGGTCTACTTTATCAGAGGTTTAGACATTAGAGTTTAACCAAGAAGCCAATAAAGCGTTTATTGTTCTGTGGCAGATCAGGTAAACATCATTAAACATGGATTCAACAGACTATCAATGTCTTATATCAATGCAAACAAATAAGTTAACTGATTTAAAAACATAAAGAGTCCTAAAATAATATGAGAAAAACAAATGTAGGCTGTAGGCGTGTCTTCTGCTGCCAGGCTTTTGATGACATAACAGAAACTAACTGAGATTAGATTTTCTCTGTAATTGTTATTCTAAAAGCCCTAATAGTTGCAATACTTATGTTTAATACTCAAAAGTCTGATAAATGAAGAAAGTTTGAACTTTCTGAACTCACCTGCTTCTTTTTGTCCTCTGAAGGAAGGCGAACTGACAGCTTTAAAACTCCCTGATCCAAACTGATCTGGTGCGCCTTTTTTTCCAGGACATTTTTCTGGTCTGTGAGAGAAAACAGATTGAATCCAGGAGGTTTTATTAAAGATTGGTTATAAAACTAATATTCCGGGTCTTACCTTCCTCCCTGCGGAAGCGCAGCAGCGCAGTCCTGCTCCCAGCCTCATACTCCACCTCACAGTCTCCTCCATTAGACTTCTTACTCTGAAAATACTTGATTAATTTATTTTTCAGTCTAGTTGCGTTAGTTTCCTCAAACTCAACCAGAACAGGGTAGGAATAACTCTCCGCCATTGTGCAGCTTCCAGCCGCTCTGGTCTGACTGAACAAACACTTTCACTTTTGTTTCTGATGAAATGGAGAGAGGCGGACACGAAGCTGCTAAACTTCGCGGGATTGGAGCAGAACAAAGCAGAACCTATTGAAAGACATGTTTACATGAGCAAGTTTGAAGACTGATTAACTCGAACCAGCAAAACAGCCGGTTTGCACTGGTCCACACCCTGTCCCACTTTACTTTCAGTTTTCACTCGATGCGCCTGGAAAGGTAAGCGCTTCGCCTCTGCGTTTAGTCTTTGGAAATAAAATAACAACATGAAATAATCGTTTATGCTGTACGCATTAATGTTATGGCGGAATTTATCAAAAGCTGGGCTTTAATTGGTTAACCTATTCACGATCCGCATGGAAATGCGACTTCAGATAAATATTCAGACGAAGATCGGGAACATTTGTAAAGACATTTGAGACTATCACATGCATGTTTGCTATTAATATTATAGTTAGTTGTTTTGTTGTTGTTTTTTTTATATGTTTTTGTACATTAACGAAAAACATAGACATGCGATAGGACTACTGACAATTAAACAAAACATTCAGAGCAATATTTAACAAAACTAAATTAATGAAACACGTTCTCTATTAAGAGAAACGTAGAAGGTTACGTTTATTCTAAAATATAGTTGTGGAAGGGGTTGTGCAAATTAATAATTACTAGGTGTGAAACGTTGGTATTTCAGTCGATTTGTCTCCCTCTGTTGGAAAAATAGTAGAACTGCATCGATAGAGAAATTGTGAGGTGGCATTGCCAAAAAATAAGTATAAAACAGATGCAAGACTTACACAAAAGACTGCATAATATTAAAAGAACATCATTTTAAAATTAAAGCTAAGCATATTAAGAATGAAAAAAGTGTATGTTGGGAAAAAAGGGTGTATTCAGGTATAAGGGGAACTATTTAAATTAAAAAGGAAAAAAAGGGGAAAATTGTAACTGGTTCACAGAACAGTGGGAAACTTGTGGAATAAGCAATATTGAAGAAAATGTCAATTATACCTGTAGTCATAAACATCTATTTTTCCTTTTCTGTTTTTTTTTTCTTTTACAAAACATTGAGTGGATTACAAACACATGAAAAAACTCTTGATCAGTTAAGGAACCTGTACAACCAGTATGTCCTGCACACACCTTTTCAGCCTAATGCTGCGTTTATATGGCAAGCCAAGAATGCCACTATTCGCATCTAATTACCATGTTAAGATCAAATACGGCTTTATTCGCCGTATTTTACCACCAAGAGGCGCTTTTTACCAAAAAGCGGTGCTTTTTACGTCCGTCTTGATGGTACTGCAAGACGCGCATTAAAAACTTGCATCTTGATTGGTCAGAACGCGCGTTCTTACCATTAGGCAGAGATCTAGGACTATGGTCTCTCCATACCATCACACAGATATTTCTTGGCTGCTCAGGAAATGCTGGAGGACCACTACATAGTCATGTCCCTGGTTTCCATATCTCCAAGCTATTAACTACTGGGCAGGTCTAACTCCTGGATGTTCAACAGGCTGAACCCGGGACTCTAACTCTGACACCATCACCTCCAGAGCTAAAAAAATACTACCACTACTTAATACCAATACTCGAGTTGAGAGGGGGATGGCATACCCCTTCTTAAAAGAATCTTAAAAATTAGCCCCCTTCTTAAATGACCATCCACCCATACCATCACCTGTGACATTTCTTTACTGACTGTGTAAAATCTCTACTTTTTATTAAAAGTAATGGAACTAATATTGCCCTTTCAACATTTGTTGGGCTGTAGGCTTACAATTAGCCTGAGCAAATCAATCAACTGGTTTTCCTTAGATAGAAAACTTTGAATCAATTTGACTGTATGATCTGGTGAACTGGAAAGTGCCTTGAGTTGACA